ATTTGAACTGGAGGACAGGTTTGCAATGTGGAAATATGAAAGGAAAATTTCTTAAAAATAACAAAGAAACAAATGGTAACAATACAAAGGCTACAAGATGACAAGAGGATCTATAACTTAAGAATACAGAATGTGAATAAAGAAGCAGGGATACAAACAAAGGAACTGCAAAGGGTATTCACAGAAATACGTAAGGAAAACTTCCCAAATATCGGAAAAGGAAAAGATACTCAGATGTATGAGGCATACAGAACTCCAGCCATCTACAACCAAAACAGAACTACACCTAGGCATATAATAATCAAGATTCCAGAAATCCAATATAGTAACACAATATTAAATGCTGTCAGAGACAAGAAACCAATTACTTACAAGGGAAAGCCCATCAGAATTACATCAGACAAATTGTGGGGCAAAATAATCCAAGACTTGAAAGAAAATAACCTCCAGCCAAGATTGATGTATCCTGCACAAATTATCCCAAGAAATTAATGGAGAAACAAGATGCTTCCAAGATAAAGAGGAACTGGGGGAATTTGCAACCACCAATCCAACTCTACAGAGAATACTCAGGACATTCTAAAGAGAGAGAGAAAAGCACCTGGATTTCAGGAACAGTGTCAGAGAGGCCCCAATGAATAGGGGAAAAAGTGAAATGAAGAAGACAAACAGACAACTAATAATGGAAAAAGCACAATAGAAATGAGGCAGAGAACATTGGATATAATTTCTAATATAGATGGCCTAGCTACACAAACTTATGTTAAAAAAGAGAGAATCACAGGGAGAGTGGATCAAGAGGTAGGGTCCACTGAATGCTCTTTGTAGGAATATAATTAATCTGAAGTAGGGTATATGGACCAAAATCAAACATGAGAAAACAGAACTTGATGTGATAGGGAACCAGAGAGTAACAGGGGCAAATGTAGCAGTATTTATTGATAGGTTGGAAAGACAGGCTTTAATAAGTGAAGAAATACAACTAGAGATCAAGTCCAGAGTGAGAAAGTTCAGAAACAACTTATGTAATTAGCAGGTTGCCCCTAATATAAAACCGAGAGTGTTGGGGAGACCCAACACTACACAGTACATCCTGAGGGAGTGAAAGGGGAGGAAAAGACAGCAGAAGATATTGCTAATACTGTATCAGGAATTAAAAACCATATTACTCGCACCACTCTGCTTGGATGGAACTTGTTTGGTCCCAGTTTGTATACAAGCACTGGATCTGAGAGCACAGGCAGCTGTCCCAAAGATATCAGGATATAACACAGTGGTCATCTTTTATTTCCTATTAACTTAATCTGGATCCTTATATGGCTTACACTGTTGTATCTTGACAGATCTTAGTTAAATCTGATTTTTTTGATTGCTGCTTATAATTGAAAGATTTTATTCAAAACTGTTTGGTTGATGGTATCAAGTTGGAGAGTATAGACAGCTGTTCTGAAAATGACAATAATTCACTATGATACCAATTCTGATTTGATTACTACCTGTTTTTGTAGCTCTACACTATCTACAAAGTTGTATTTATGTTAATTCTGTAATGAACTGATATATTCAATTATACTTTATCTGATGATATAGCCAATTCTGTTGATGATAACAAAAGATAGCACAGTAACCATGATAGAAATCCTTGTACAGCAGTTTTATATGTCTTTTTAGTTTTATGTGTCTATAGGAATATGTTTAGTTCTGTCCTGCTCTGTTCTGTTTCTCCCTCTAATATAGAAAGAATAGAAATACATGTTAAGACTCATGCTTGCATAAAACCTATAAACAGATTATGAGAACTGATCTTATGACACATGATGAAATGAACAAATACTTTGAAGGAAAAAAAGGGGCACTGCAGTACCCAGTGCTGATTCTGGAGTATCATGATGTGAAATCCAGCAATACTATTAATCTTTGTTCAGAATGATTTTAATCTGCTATGTTTTGTTTGGTCCCAACATAAGTGAAGGTATGGATAAATGTGTACCTGTCTAAGAGTATTGATTTGATAGCCATATTACTTAGTTCTTGTTGGATAGTTGAACAGAACTATTTGCAGTCTCCCTGGTTGAATTCTCATTTGTGTGTTCCACTTTTGTATCTTGAACAATTGTTTGTGGGGCAACAATATGTAAACATTAACTGGTGATTTATTACTGTTTATTTTTTTTTTCTTTGAAAGTATGTGCTATTTCTGCCCATTTGCTGTTTTGTTTTGTCTTTCTTTAAATAAAATTTTTAAAAAAGTAGTAAGGGAAGTGAAAACTAAATAAAAACATCTAGATCATGCAATAAAGAATAACATAAGATCAATTGCAGTCAATAAAAATAAAGACAGCATAACAAACATTCACATAAATAATGGCAGAAAACTACCCAAGCATGGAGAAAGAATTTAACACACAGGTAAGTGAAGAATATAGGAATCCAATTAGCCAAAAAAGAACACTTAAAACAAAGCATATCATAATCATGCTCCCAGAAATTCAATATGAGAATAGAATATTCAAATTTGTTTGAGAAGAGAAGCAATCATCCACAAATGGAAGCCCATAAGAATCACAGTCAAATTCTCCACAGAGCCAAGTCAATGAGAGCTTGAAACAACATTCTTCCTTGAGGGTAGCACATAAGCCACCCTCCTTCATAAATAGGAGGTCTAGCCCTCTTCTATTCTGTAGGACTACCTCAGATAGAGATGTCAGGGACCCCTGTAGAGCCGTCACAGTTGTTTCTATTTCTTTTAAATCTTGATCTGCTGCTGCCTGTAATTGAGCTAGATGCTGATTTCCCAACACTAGAGCTGTAGTCCCTGTTCCTATTCCTGTTGCAACTCCTAACCCTAGCAATACAGCTAAGGTGAGTGTTGCAGGTTCTCTCATATACATAGCTGGAGGTAGTAGTCTCCTGGGTGGAAGGTTATGCGAGGAAGAACCTGTACAAGAACACAAAAATCTGTAGACTTGTTAAAAACAGTAGTTGCTATACAGGGTGAGAGGCCAAAATTGCAGGCCCAAGACATTCCTGGGGGTGGAATGAGGTAATTATTTGGCTTGAACTCAGAATGAAGCTGGGCACAGAGTCGTGCTGTCAGTGTTGGTGGATGGCTGGAGTCCCCAAGACAAGTCCCTCTACCTGAGACGTTAGGGAGAGTCAGCTTGTGGTGATTGCCCCAGTCACAGGCAGATGAGCTAGAAGAACTGTTAAAGGTTAAATTGAGGGCCTTTCCTTCATAATATGGGGGAGGAGCAGTCAAGCATAACCAACAGGATTGGGTGAGATCAGGTTGGGTACGATTTAAGGCTGTGTATGCCCCTTTAATCAAACTGAATAGGTTAGAATGTGAATATTGAGGGGCAGGTATATGATCTACCTGGTGTGGGGGGGCTTGAGAAACACTTATGGTTGGGTGACTTACTGTGGTTTGTTTGAACAGCAGTAACAGGATCTGTATTGGACTGATTGTATTTTGGATTTGGATTGTATTTTGGCTTTAGAGCAGGATTTGGGCCTATGGGCACAGATGAAATCTGTAGGGGAACCTTTTTTATGAGAATAAGATTTCCCCTGTCTTTGCCTGACTCATAAACTCGAAGTCCCCAGGTGCATCCTGTCAGCCAGCCAGGGTCTTCAGGAGTGGTGACAGTGATGTTTAGAACCTGACAGGGTCTTTGATTGGCCAGTGGGTAGTCATCTAGTCTGCACCCTGGTGGCCCCCATGTCAGTTTAAGGTGTTTATCAGGGAAGGTGGGTTGCCATCCTGTTGCAACTGTTTTGCAGCCCCAACGAGCACAAAAATATTCTCCCGGGGAATTACAATATGATCTGCCCCCTGTTACTGCGGGACAAAGGTAGACTTGACTTTGTCTGGGACACTGGAGCCCCGGAAAGAACCAACAGGGTGTGAGCACAAACCATGGACTTCCTGATCCTACCCAAGTCCAAACCGTCTCTTGGTCGTTCCAGTGGCTAAGCTCCCATTTCCAGGGTTGATAGGGCGGTACTGAGGAGGGAGTGTGGCAGTGCCATTTTTTTTGTCTTTTTTTAATAAAAACAACCCTACATTTATTGCCCCCAGTAAAAACATAAGGGTAGACAAAACAATATGAACAAACATTTTACAAATACTCCCAAGGCAAACCACTTAATCAGCTGCCTTTTTTATATGGGTACACACTGTAATTGACATTTACCTTAATTGCCTGCCTTGCATCTCACTGCTGTCTTTATTCACTGATCATTTCTAGTTGGAGACACTTTGCAGCAAAGTAATATTATCTCCTTTCAGCATGATCCGACCCAGTTGTTTTCTTGACTTGGTTTTAGAATGAATTTCTTCTGCATCATCTAATCTCCATTTTTTTTTGTCTTTTTCTTTTTTATCGGTACTGGGGATCGAACTCACAACTGCCTGCTTGTAAGGCAGGCGCTTATGCCACTGAACTAAACCTCCAGCCGCCCCCCCTTTTTTTTCACCACCAGAGTCAGTATGGAGGACGTGCCATTTTGAGTATCGGGGCAGTGCACGCCATTTTGAGTACCCTAATGGCCTCCAGAAAAAGGAAGTGGCAGCAAGTTGCCATCTTGAAAAGACTCCGGGATATCAAGGACCACAGAGTCAGGAGGGCCTTAGATAAGTCCGGTGGTGGTGGAGTACAATTGCGGGAGGCAGCTAACGCAGCCTCACCCTGGGCGAGCATCTCCGTGACTTGGGGATCTGTGTGACGTTATGTCAGCAGCTCAGAGATTAAAGTCCAATATGATAAAGCGGTTACCGGAATCTTTTTTGGGCCCAAAACCCCATAATAGTCTTTGAGAGCATCTCCTACTCTTTTCCAACTGTTTAAAATGACGGTGCCCTCTAGGGGGAACCATGGACACACTGAATGTCAAATCTTTTTGTCTTAACCTTAATCCCTCTAATCTTGAGTGCCTCCCTGAGGCCATTCACGAACAATTCGTGCTAAGTGCTTCCCATGCTAATACCGTTCACCTACCGTGATTCAGGTGAGATGTAGGGTGGCCTTCTGCAGAGATCACAGGAACGAAGTCCCAAAACAGTCACGCCAGCCGGCACTTTACCCCCGTGAATGGTCCCACATCGTTATCCCTCATGCCAGGTCTGCCCCACATTTGGGCACCACTTGATCCGTTCCGTGGATTGTTCTCTGGGCCTCGCCTGGAGAGGGGACAGAGATGAAGGGCTGGGCAAGAGAAAAGAGAGATGGAGCCTTGGCGGGATTCCATTCAAGTCTCATTTATTCATAAAATGGCTACAACTTATATAGGGTGGAGGCGGGCCAATGGGGCAGGAAGAGGGCACGGAGTGTTATCTGATAGGTCATCGTCACATCCAGATATATACGATGTAAGCAGGAGAGGATTATGGGTAATGTAGGCAGACATGAGGATCACTGGAAATGTAGGCTGACACACAAAATGCCCTCAGGTGGGAGAGGCAGGGCAGCAGCAGCCATTGTGAGCTGCTTCCTACAAAGAATCTTCATTCTAATAAGATAAAAACACAAAAATGGACAGATTCCTAAATGCCTATGAATTACCAACAAATAGATCAAATAGATATAAAATAGAATCAAATAGATATAAAGATTTTAATTACCCAATATCAGTCAATAAGATTGAAGATGCAATTAAAAATTTACCAACAAAAAAATTCTCAGGTCATTATGGGTCCTCTGATGAATGCTATATAAACTTTAGAGAAGACATGAGGTCATTGCTTTTAATAATCTTCAAAGAAATTGAAAAGGAATCCTTACCACAAACTCATCCCTAGAACCAAGCATTACACTGATACTAAAACCAGAGAAGAATCCTGCCGAAAAAGAGAACTACTAGACAATCTCTCTAATAAACATAGACTCAAAAATTGGCAGAGATATGGAAAAAAGCAAATGTAGCAAATCATCAAGAAGGTTATACACCATGACCAAGAAGCTTTCATTTCAAAGATGCAAGAATGATTCAACAAACACAAATCAGTATATATAATACATAATATTAACACAGTCAAGTACAGAAACCCCATAAACATCTCAATAGACACAGAAAATGTATTTGACAAACTCTAATGCCTATTCATTTAAAAAGGCCTGCAACCTGATAAGATTCATCTGTCACAAAACAAGAGCCAAAATCACACTAAATGCTAAAAACTGAAGATTTTCACTCTAAAGACCTTTTCCACTATCACCACAGTTTTTTAGAGGTTTTTTTTAAGAAGCAAGATACAACTGTGTAGTAGAAACAAGGATTGAACTCGCTTATGTACCTCAGGGAAGCCGAGAATGCTCAGCAATTCTCCTGCCTCATACTCCCAAGTGCTGGTATTACAGACAAGTGCCAGCACACCTGGGTGATAATCACCACTCATCCAAAATAGTTCTGGAGATATTAGCCAGAACAATTAGACAAAAGAAAGAAAAGGAATGGTGATAGGAAAAGAAGAATTTAAAGTATTACTATGGGAAGATGACAGGATTCCCTACACATAAGACCCCAAGTACTCCACCACAACTTCTAGATTTAATAACCAAATTCAGTAGCATAGCTGGGTATAAACCAAACATTCAAAAATCAGTAGCATTTCTATATACAAGAAACAAACTCAATGAGAGAGAAATTAGGGAATTCACACCTTGCAAAGTAGCATCAACAAAGATGAAATACTTAGGTAGCAATGTAATGAAGACTTACAAGAACATTGTATTGAAAATTATAGTACTCTGAAAAAGGATACCAAAGAGGATAGGAGAAAATAGAGTGACTTTCCTTTCTTTTGGACTGAAAGAACCAATATCTTGAAAATAGTCATACTTCCTAATGGACTTAGTGCAATCCTAATCAAAATATCAGTGGCAAGTGGAGGCAGGGAACCCCTCCCAAGGCCGGCGAATTGTTTTCTTCACCTGGGGCTGGCTGCCTGTGGGTCGCATAAGTCCAGCGGAGGCATGTCCTCCTCGCCTGCAGGCCGGCCTCCTCCGGCTCCCTGTTGCTCTGGTAAGACCAGTGGAGGCAGGGAACTCCTCCCAACGCCAGGGAACTGTTTTCTTCACCTGGGGCCCAGGATCTGGCTGCCTGTGGGTCCCATAAATCCAGCAGAGGCATGGAGCTCTCTTCCTCGCCTGCAGGCCGCCCTCCTCCAGCTCCCTGTTTGTCCGGTAAGAACAGTGGAGACAGGGAACCCATCCCAAGGCTGGTGAAATGTTTTCTCTGCCTGGGGCCCAGGATTTGGCTTCCTGTCAAATCAGTGAGTAAAGAGGAAGCAGGGACCTCTGTCCCAGCCTGGCTGACCTCTCTAACTCACGTGGAACAAAATCTGAAGCACAAAAATATAGGAAAATGACAAAACGAAAGACTAAAATGCTGTCTCAAACATCCAGCTCATCCCAAGAAAGCCTAGGAGCCATGTGCATAGAAGAAAACACATGCCACATACCTGAAATACCTGAAATAATAGTAACTGAAATAAAGAAGCAACTCTGGGAAGCCTTAAAGAAAATCAAACTAGAAATAATCTCTCAGGTAAAAGAAGAAATGATAAAAGAAATGAAGGAGATGCTGAACATATCTAAAGAAGACACAGTTAAAAAACTTGAGGAGATAGACAAAAAGATACAATCCCTGGATGAACAATATAAGAAACAAAAAGAATATATAAAGCAGATGCAAAGAGATATACAGGAAATCAAAAACTCGACTGAAAGTTGTAAAAACTGCCTCAATGAATGTGAAGATAGAATTTCAGATCTTGAAGACAAGATTGCAGCCAGTGAACAGGAAAGGAAAGATCTTTTAAAAATAACAAGAAATCAGGAAATAACAATTCAACACCTGCAAAATGATGCAAAAAGGAACAACATAAGGTTAATAGGGATAAATGAAAAAGAAGGGAACAACATAAAGGATGTCAAGAGGACATTTAGAGAAGTAATTGCTGAAAATTTCCCAAACATAAGATTGGAAAATGATATTAAGATCAATGAAGCATACAGAACTCCAAATAGCCATAACCAAAATAAAACTACACCCAGACACATAGTAATGGCCATCCCAGAAATCGAACAAAAGAATAGAATATTAAAAGCTGTAAGAGAGAAAAGACAGATCACCTATAAAGGAAAACCTATCAGAATCACAGCAGACTTCTCAGCACAAATAATAAAGTCAAGAAGAGCATGGAGTGAAGTATGTCAGATCCTAAAGGAAAATGATTTCCCAACCATACATCCCAGGCTGATGTATCCTGCAAAACTGTCCTTCAAAATTGATGGAGAAATAAGATACTTCCATGACAAACAGCAGCTGAAAAACTACATGATCACCAAGCCAACCCTGCAAAGAATACTGAAAGACAGCCTAGATGCATCTAGGAAAAAACCACTAAACAAAACAGACAATTAAACAGAACTGAATGACAAAGATGCAACAGCAGAAAGATAACATGTCAACAATAAACCAATATATAAGTTATAACCATTCATGTAAATGGTCTCAATGTACCAATTAAAAGAAACAGACTGGCAGAATAGATCAAGAAACAAAATCCAACCATATGCTGTCTACAAGAAACCTATCTAACTCAAAAGGATACCCACAGACTGAAAGTCAAAGGATGGAAAACAATACTTTATGCAACAGGAACCCAAAAAAAAGCAGGGGTGGCTATTCTGTTTGCAGACAAATGTGAACTTCAAGCCAATAATGATCAGAAGGGATAAAGAATGTCACTACATACTGGTTAGGGGAAAACTCCAAGAGGAAGAGATAACTATCTTAAATGTATATGCACCAAATTCCAGAGCACCCAGAGTACTTGTTAAAACAAGTACTAACAGAAATGAAATACCAAATCAGCAGTAACACAGTTCTAACAGGGGATCTTAACACACCAATGACACCAATGGACAGATCAACCAGACAGAAAATCAGCAAAGAAATAAAAGAACTGAATTGCACTTGTGAACAAATGGACTTAATAGACATATACAGAGTATTCCACCCAACAACAAAAGAATATACATTCTTCTCAGGAGTACATGGGTCATTTTCTAAAATAGACCATATATTAATTCACAAAACATATCTAAATAAATGCAAAAGCATTGAAATCATCCCTTGCATGCTATCGGACCATAGTGCTACGAAATTAGAAATTAATGATAAAAGATACTACAAAATTCCCACAAAGACATGGAAACCGAATAACACACTCTTGAGTAATCAGTGGGTCACAGATGAAATCAAACAAGAAATTAAACACTACCTACAGGAAAATGAAAACACAAATACAACTAACTGGAATCTGTGGGATGCAATGGAAGCTGTCCTCAGAGGAAAATTTATAGCACTGAGTTCACACATCAGGAAAACAGAATGAATACAAATAAATAACATGATGTCACACCTCAAACATCTAGAAAAAGAAGACCAATTCAGGCCAAAGCCAAAGGAAGAGAAGCAAATATAAACATCAGAGCAGAAATCAATGTAATAGAGACTAAAAAAACAATTCCAAAAAATCAATGAATCAGAGAGTTGGTTCTTTGAAAGAATAAATAAAACTGATAAGCCCCTAGTCAACCTTATTTTAAAAAGGGAAAAAAAAGCTCAAATTCATGCAATAAGGAATGAAAGAAGAGGAATCACTATAGACCCTATAGGAATACAGAAAATCATCATCACCTATTTCGAAAACCTCTACTCTCAAAGGTTTGATAACACAGAGGAAATGGACAGATTCCTAGAAGCATTCTGTCTTAGTCACATTTTACTCATCGCTGAGACAAAACACCTGAAGCCCAAAGTTGGGAAAGGAAAGTTTTATTTCTTACTGTTTTTGGAGGTTTCAGTCCACACTCAGTTGTCTCCAAGACAGGCAGGCATGGCTGGACTGCAGTTCATGGTGGCCACCAGCAGCAAACTCAAACCAGCAAAGAAAAAGACACACCTTCTTCCTGCCATTACATCACATCCTGGCTCCACCCCTATGTGGATGGAGCACTGAAACCATCAATCCAAGCACTATACAATGAACCATCACAAATGAACAATGCAAACTCATGAGGCCTGGGGGACACAGACATAAACCATGACATTCCACCCCTGGCCCCCAGGACTCATGTACATCCTTTATACAAAAGACATTTAGTCCACCTCCAAGAGTTGCTGAAATCCTAACAGCTTCAACATTGCTGAAAAGTCCAAGTCCCAGGTCTCCTCCAAGATCTATAGCAAACTCTTAACTGTAACCCCCTATGCAAATGAAACAAGGTTACACATTTCTAAAATGCAAAGGCACAAGATAAACATTATCATTCCAAAAGTTAAAAACAGGGGAATATAAAACATTGGAAACAAAGCAATTCCAACATCCAGCAGGGCAAACATTAAGTCCTAGAGTTCTACACTCAGCATCTGAAGCAATCTGGTTGCAAGTTCCAAAAGCCTTGGGTGATTCCACCCCCAGGGCACTTCCAGCCATTTCAGCTCCTGCTGCTTTTCTCTTAAATCCTCTCTGCTTGATTTTTGCAGCTTTCCTTGGATCATCCACATTCCTGGCTTTTCCAAACTTCTGGGGTCTCCACTGTACCTTCGGCTTCACCCTTACATCTTCACAAATTGCCCTCCCAGGGGCACACTGCTTGGCCTCCCAGGCCCTTTGCAATCTAGGTGGAAGCCATCTTACCCTCAGAATTTGTGCATTTTCCTTGCACCTAAAATCAGCACCTTGTGGATGCCGCCAAAGTTTGCTGCTAGCTGAAGCAGTAGCCAGGCTTTTCTCTCTCTTGGTTGTGGGGGTCAGTTGCCTGGATCGCAGGGCTCTGTTTACTGATTGTGATGAAAAGCTTCTCTATGTTGCCACCTTTCTGGAAACTCGTGTGGCCTCTGCTGCCATTCTGGAACCTCATGGGGCCTCTGTCGCCATTCTGGACCCTCACATGGCTTCTGTCGCCATTCTGGAGCATGGCACTCTGTAGATTTTTCCTCCGAGCAAAATTTTTCATCTTTGCTATGAGGCTGCACAGGGTGGGGTCTTGCTTCCTGGGATGCCCTGGGGCCATCTTTCTTATCTCTCTGTTTCTCCTTAGGAATCAAAATCTCAACTCTGTCTTTACAATCCACACCCTTCCTGGAATCTTCCTTTGGGCCAAACTCACAGCATTATAAATTATCCTGCTGGGTTCTCTGCTCCTGATTCGAAACATAAAGCTGGCAGAAAGCCACCGACAATAGCCATGCCACAGCCTCAACATTTGGTTGCTTTTTAATTTCTTTTTCAAGATTAATCAGTCCATTTTCCTTTGTCTCAGTCCTAGGCAAAGTCTCTGGGCAGGAGCAAAATGCAGACAAACTTTCTGCTAAGCCATAACACACATCATGTGGAATCCAACAACCAATGCAGTCCTTCCCAGCAGAAACCTCCCAAGCCTGGTCTTTGCCATCAGGCTTTCTATCAGCTTTCTGGTCTCCTGAGCTCTGACCAGAATCTCCTCTACAGAACAGCCTAAGTTGCTCCAGCTCTATGCATCCAGGCGACATGTCCAAACCTTTCCAAACTCCGCCCACTAGGAAGCCATTTCCAAAACCTCTTGAAACACGTGGCCAGGTATAGTCACAGCAAACAACCCCACTCCTCGGTACCAAATTTCTGTCTTAGTCACTTTTTACTCGTCACTGAGACAAAATACCTGAAACCCAAAGTTGGGAAAGGAAAGGTTTATTTCTTACAGTTTGTGGAGGTTTCAGTCCACACTCAGTTGTCTCCAAGACAGGCAGGCATGGCTGGGCTGCAGTTCATGGTGGCCACCAGCAGCAAACTCAAACCAGCAAAGAAAAAGATACACCTTCTTCCTGCCATTACATCACATCCTGGCTCCACCCCTATGTGGATGGAGCACTGACACCATCAATCCAAGTACTATACAATGAACCATCACAAATGAACAATGCAAACTCATGAGGCCTGGGGGACACAACATAAACCATGACACATACAAAGTACCAAAGCTAGGTCATTAAGATGTAAAACTAATGAATAACCCAATTTCTATTAATGAAATAAAAAATGTAATTAAATCCTTACCTACAAAGAAGAGCCCAGGCCCAGACAGATTCACTGCAGAATTCTACAAGAAATACAAGGAAGACCTAATGCCAACACTTCTCAAACTCTTCAATGAAATTCAAAGGGAAGCAATCCTTCCTAAGTCATTTCCGGAAGCAAATATTACTCTAGTATCAAAACCCGAGAAAGACCCAACTGAAAAACAAACCTATAGACCAATCTCCCTAATGAACACAGATGCAAAAATCCTCAAAAAAAAAAAAATAATGGCAAATAGGATGCAGCAAATCATCAAGAAGGTCATACACCATGACCAAGTGGGATTCATCCCAGGCATGCAGGGATGGTTCAATATACATAAATCAATAAATGTAATATACCATATCAATAGAGCCAAAAGTAAGAACCACATGATCATTTCTATAGATGCAGATAAAGCTTTTGATAAGGTCCAACATTCATTCATGATAAGAACCCTGCAGAAAATTGGAATAGATGGTCTTTACCTCAATATAATAAAGGCCATCTATGACAAACCAACAGCCAGTATCATTCTAAATGGCCAAAAATTGAAGGCCTTTACTTTAAAATCAGGCACAAGACAAGGGTGTCCCTTATCACCACTCCTATTTAATATAGTACTGGAAATATGAGCCAGAGCAATTAGACAAGAGAGAGAAATAAAAGGTGTAAATATAGGAAAAGAAGTTAAGCTATCATTATTTGCAGATGACATGATACTCTATATAGAAGATCCACAAAACTCCATTGAAAGACTGCTACATATAATAAATAAATATAGTAATGTAGCCAGCTATAAAATCAATAGCATTCCCATACACTACCAACAAAGTCACAGAAAGAGAAATAAAAGAAACCACACCCTTCACATTAGCAACCCAAAAAATGAAATATCTAGGAATTACTCTCACGAAAGAAGTGAAAGACCTGTACAGGGAAAATTATATTACCCTGAAAAACGAAATTGAAGATGATCTGAGAAAATGGAAAAACATCCCTTGCTCATGGATAGGAAGAATAAATATTGTGAAAATGGCCATTCTCCCAAAACTGTTATACAGATTCAATGCAATCCCGATAAAAATACCATCAACATACCTCATAGAACTCGAGAAATCACTCCTAAAATTCATCTGGAGTGAGAAGAGTCCTAGAATAGCAAGGACAGTTCTAAGATGCAAAGGCAAGGCAGGAGGTATCACAATGCCTGACTTGAAATTATACTACAAAGCAACCGTAGTAAAATTAACATTGTACTGGAATGAAAGCAGAGCTGAAGATCAGTGGAATAGATTAGAAGATACAACCACAACTGCAAACACACTCAACCACCTTGTCTTTGATAAAGGGGCCAAACAGGTTCACTGGGAGAACAACAGTCTCTTTAACAAATGGTGTTGGAAAAACTGGCTCTCCATATGTCGAAAACTAAAACTAAACCCATGCCTATCACCATGTAATACAATAAAATCTAAATGGATCAAAGATCTAAATATTAAAACAGAAACACTAAATCTATTGGAAGACAAATTGAGTAAAAACCTTGAAGATATAGGAGTAGGTAGAGAATTCATGAACAGGACTCAAACCACATGGGAAATACTTCAAAGAATCAATAACTGGGATCACCTCTTATTAAAAAGTTTCTGCATGTCAAAAGAAGTCTCCAGCTAGGTGAGAAGAAAACCACAAACTGGGAAAAAATCTTAATTAACTGCCCCTCACACAAAGGACTTCTATCTAAAACATACAAAGAATTAAAAAATCAGACCCCAAAATTCAAAGAGCCAATCAAAAAATGGGCATCTGAGATTAATAAACAATTCTCAGATGAAGAAATACAAATGGCAAATAAATATATGAAAAAATGTTCATCATCATTGGTCATTAGAGAAATGCAAATCAAAACCCTACTGAGATTTCATCTCACTCCCGAAAGAATGGCCAAGATCAAGAAAACCAACAACAACAAATGCTGGAGAGGCTGTGGGGAAAAAGGAACTCTCCTGTACTGTTGGTGGGAGTGTAGACTAGTGCAACCATTGTGGAGGTCAGTCTGGAGATTTCTCAGAAAACTAGGACTGGAAGCCCCATATGACCCAGCTATACCACTTCTAGGCATAATTCCCAGAAGAACTGAAAGCATCATACCACATGTGCACCCATGTTTATAGCAGCACAATTTGTAATAGCTAGATCTTGGAAACAACCTAAGTGTCCATCAACTGAAGAATGGATAAAAAAGTTGTGGTATTTTCATACAATGGAGTACTACTCAGCTATAAAAATGACTGCATTGAGACATTTATAAATAAATGGACATAGCTTAAGACCATACTCATAAATGAAATAAATAAAACTCACATGTATAAATACCGAATAGTTTCCCTAGTGTAAGAAATAAGAATACATAGAAATATGTGGTAATCATGATTCCCAATCATATTGGTTTGAAGCCATATAATGTTTTCACTCATTAACCGCAATGGTTTTAACCTGGGTTGTTCGATGTTAGTATCTATGATAGCATGAATAGCTATTTTGAAGAAAGCAACACAACATAAAAGCTAGTGCTGATTTAATATCGTCTTGTTTTAAAGTCCCATCAAGCTGTAGAACATCTGTTTCCACCTGTTTTAACATGTTGTATCTTACTATATTTCACTATAAGCTATAGTATAAACAAAACTCTTTATAGGCAAAGAGGTAATTATTGTATTCTCTTGAAAGGTTTCACACTGTCTAGATACGCTTGATATTATAGCATGCGAAGTTACACTCAAATAATTTAAGGAAAGAGGCACTGTGGTGACTCCTATTATGTTAGTTTATCTGGTGGTGAAATA